TTTAAAAAACAAAACAAAACATATCCTACAGGGTGTTTCACCAAGCTTAGGCCATTTTCTTTTTATAACAGAAAGAGATTAAGGCCAACACTAATTTTTATATTATACTGCAAGCCGAGCTCCTATTGGCAACAGAGTACCTTCCTCGGCAAAATCATACAACTACCCCCATCATCTCTGAGAACTGGGATGTAGAAAAGGCCAATTACCTTTCGGAGAAAAGGAAATTACTTGCTTATAATTGAGTTCTCTGAATGTGGTGTCCGCTATTAGAGCCACACTCATCCTCCCACCTCCCCTTGAGAGCTGGGGTTTTATTCCTATTTAAGTTATAATTATAATAATTAGTCTGAAAAGGATCTGGGAGTTAGGGGCTAGGATATGCCATATAGACCCCTCAAGGCATCTTTCTGCACTAACTCATTATGACCAGTTCTAAACTTTACCATTTAATCTAGTTATTCAGTACCCAAGGTCACAACAGCTGAGACCCAAGAGCATAAATCCTTAGAGGCTCTCACCTTCAGAGAACTACAATTAAAAGGTAAATAATTCCCTAGCTGCTCTCTCTGTGAAGCAATGATATCAGCCAGGGACAGGAATCCAACCTCATCCTAATTACTACTCTAGTAATTTACCTACTTGCACTGGAAAAAGTCAGCAATGGCGCCAATTTACCAAACAGAAATGCAGAAGTTACTTAATTTAAAATTAGATCTGACCAGGCTAAGTCTTCTTGTGTTTGTAAATGTTGGTTTGAGACTGCAATGCAGCACCTCCAAGCAAATCTAAAGCACAAAACACCGAAAAATCAAATTTAGCATCATTCAGTGTCTGTTAATTTCATGCAATGAAACTAGAATATTTGTTTCAGTCCTTATCCACAATGGAATCCATTTCTTTGCTTATTTCCATTTTATGTTGTTTTGCTTGAATAATCATTTCATGTTTCAAGTTATTTGAAACAAATTATAGGAGTTTTAGACTCTTAGTTTGCCAACATTAACAGGTTCTGTAAAACACATCATCAGAAAAAACAGATGTCAGAAAATTTGTCCTCCCCCGCCCGCTCTCCCATTTCCTTCTCCCACAGGTTTCTATACATCCCAAAAGGAAGTTAGGCTCTAGATCCATAAACCATCAAAGCAGACACTTTGAAATGCACATTAAATGAGAGTGGGATGGGACTAGAGGTAAAGGACTATGGCTCACTAGAGTACTGGTCAGTAAACAGAGGAGGTAAGATTTTCAGTTATGTCCTCATTGAGTTGCTAACATTTTTCAGGATGAATTAATTGCATCTACACATTACACACTTAAACCCACATTTCAATCAAATGCATCATATCATGCCTCAAATAATACATGCAACTGATTACAGGTGCAAAAATAGAGCCTGGATTGAGGCGGCTTGGAAAATATGGCTCTTCAAATATAGATTAGAAAGCATAAGGAAAAATAAAGATTCTATTTTCTAGATACAGAAATCATTGGTACATTTCTTAGACTTTAAAAAAAAAAATCGAAATATATTTTTTCCTCCCAGGTTTTCTAACATAAAAAAAAAGTTTGCATCCTACTTGTCTTATACAAACTTGTACCAAAGTGCCAGATTTCCACAATGGACTCCCTAAGTCCAGTGCTGTAGCAACGAAGTTTGGGGCCTGGGGCAAAGCCTGCAGCGGCAGCCCACCCTTGCCCCATGCACAGATCCAGGGGGCAGACGCCCCCTCCCCACCCATGCTTCCTCAGAACTGCACACAGCGGCGGGAGCCGTCCTTCCCCCATCCCCATGTCCACCTCCAAATGAGCTGTTCGCGGCTCCATCCCACGTCCTGCCCTGGTTGGGAAGCTCCTGTTGGTGCCCCTTTGCTTCAGTGCCCAAGGTGGTTGCCCTGCTCACCCCCCGTCCCTTGCTATGGCACTGCCCTAGTCCACATAGAAGTAAAGTTTCAAGAATGTTACAAGAATGGCAATTCTTGTAACAAGTACTTGTGCATAATCCAGTGCCCTACAGGACATACTGAAATACATACACCTAAAAACAGAGCTACACAATCTTTCTGGGTTTCTTTTTCCCCTAGAATCATGAATGCTGACAGGGAGCAAGATGTCCGGTAGCCTTAGCTTCGTCCCTGGCTTTACGAAGTCCTCTGTAACACAACACAGAATTAAGAACAACAGATATTCTCTGCTCTGAAGCAAGTTCCACAAAATGAATTCTTTTACTCCCAGTAAGAGTTAATATCCTGCTAGGGAACAATATGAAGAAGTTTGCACTGTTCTTGTCAGAGCTATATGTTTGCTGGAGACAAATAGACCCCAATTTCTAATGTTGGTTCAGAAACATCCTACCTTTTTTTTCTAAATTAAATTATAAAGGTACTACCACACCTGCAGCTAAGCATGTTAACTACAAAAGAAACATTTCAGGTCATTTTTTTAGATTTTCTTGTTGTTGGGGGTTAGGGGAGAAAAAGAGGGAAGTAGCAATTTTCAAATATTGGTATCCTAATTTGAACATCAATATGCTGATACAAGGGTCAAAACTGAGACTGATTGTGGGTAGGTTGCACTAGGCTCAGACTCTGAACAGAGCTGCAGAGCTATTTCTAAGGACTCACCTAGGTAGCTAGGTCAGGCGAGTCTATCACTTATACTCTTCAATCCATTCTCATCCATGTTCATTAAACTTTTGTGTGTGCGCCAATTAGCCTACATACATCTGGGTGACACAATTTGTGGTAGAAGATGGTTTAGTCTTTACCTTTTGATTAAGGATACCAAAAAAGTAGGCTCCACCTACTGTTCCTTCACTTTGTCAGACAGTAATGCTTATTTCATTTCCTGAAAACAGTCTGTGAAATTCCCAAACTACGGTATAAGACTCAAGTGATCTAATTAATTAAATGCAAAATTTATTAAGGTGCCAAGTACTTGATTTGTCCTCGTGCAGGCAAATTGTCAATAACACATCTAAATAGCCATTTGAGGCACATTTATCATACTTGTGCTTAGAAATATAACTGCATCTTTAGGAGTTCTCTGATGTGGCTCTGATAGTAGCTTTCTTTTAAATAAGAAAATAGACATAGAGAAAATATTAATTTTGAAGTTTACTTATTGTGAGATTCCCCAGGGCTGATCTCTTTTTGTATTTAAAATGTCACCTCAGCCAAGGCCACAGAGCTTCATTTCTAAATCTTTTCACCCAAACTACTTAACAGAATCTGGACAGTATATTGTGAAAAACTGTGTTTCTTTGACAATCTGGTTAAGTTCTCATTTAGTAAGAAATACATTATCTATTCTCCCGAGTCTGGTACCTAGCATATCCTATAATCAGGAAAGACCATAAGCCTATGCACTAAACTTGCTTTCAGGACAGTGCATCTCCTACCATTAGTTAATTTGCTCCTTCAATAGTTCTAACACAGGCCCATTGCCATCGATATCCACCTCCCAGTGGAAACACTTTCCTTTAAGCTACCCTGTTTCATCAAGCTATTAGATGTCCTAAAATCCCTCGGAGCCCTAGATTAGCGAATTTGAACTTTTTTTAGTATTTTATTCTTGACTTTCACCCTTCTGAGAGATGTTTGTAGGTGAATGATTTCTCTGCAGTTTTCAAAGATTTATTGGTTTAATTTAATGTGGCTCTGAAAACAGAATCACACATTCTTCCCCTCCTTGACCAGTTAGCATCCATGAACACTACTAAAGCTCCTACCTTTTCCTCATAATCTACAGTCCCTTTCATCCCCCAACCTCTCTCTAAACCACATATCATTTTGCAGCTCTAAATTCAGACACTGCAGCCAGCAGACCTAACATTTCCCTTTCCCTATGCTTCATCATTAGAACCGCAAAGGAGAAGCAGTTTCTCTACAGCAGCTAGAGCAGGTGAACACATATTTTTCCAGAACTGGCCACTGACTCATGCTCTGTGCCTAACCTTATCTTTTGCAATGCCATTTACCTATTTCATTGGAGCATTAGAGACATAATACCAGAATTCTTAGAGCAGCGGTTCTCAACCAGGACCCATTTGTAAACACTGATGGCTAGTCCCGACCCAGTGCCTCTCACCCCTGACCTGCTGCCCCCTGCCTCCAGGCCCCAGTGTGTGGGGTAAGGGGTGGGTGTGTGAAGCAAGAAGGGGGTCCCAAGCAGCCCCTTGCAAGCTGGAACTGTGCCAGCCTGCAAGGGAAAAGCCATGGTTTACCATGTTTTTCTCCTTTAAAACAAGAATCCATTTTTAAAGCGTATTTGTGACCCTTTTGACCAGAGGCCACTTCACATACATCTTTGCAAATACAAACTAGAGGAAAGAAAGCATCAGTGTAATATCCTAAGATGGCAATGTGATAGTCTTTCTGGCTAAAGTATGATTTAGAGTAATTCAGCTGAATGCAGGGAAACAAGGAAGTGCTTATACATTGGTGAGAAATCTGTTACCTAGTTTGACAGTTCAGGAGAGATGGGAGAGGTAAGAGAAAGGACCCGCAGTCCTTTTGAAAAAAAGAGGTTCTGCTGTCTCATGCACACAGAAGTCTTTTAGTCTCCCAAGTTTTCAGTCTGTTAAACACAAACTAGGAATCTTTATTCAGCAAGAGAGTCAGAATTGGTGCTGTTTAAAATGCTACTCAGTAATAAACACTTGCCTTCAATTTTTATTTTAATATCTATCAGATAAACATGATTACATTACAGCTCCAACTTGGACAACTTAGCTCTGCTGTTTTAAGTCATTGTCCACTTAATGTTTTCATTCCAGTTGCCAGGACATCATTCTGAAGTATGATGCAATAAAAGCCACATTGTTACCTCACAATTCTGTAACTTCATAAAGAACATACCAGCAGTAGGCACTTTCACATAGGGTTGCTGACATAATAAAATGTAGGGCAATAGTGTGAACTTTCAGCATTTAGTTAGAATCTCTTTACACTGGCAGGCCTAACTTTGAAAATACAGTAAGGTCTTCACCCCAACTCCCATAGATTTAAAATGGCTGACATGAGCTGGAAGACCATGGACCGTGGTATCATGGACTGGCTGGACAGCAAAAGAGCCAAAATCTTGAGAGTCTCCAATGACAGGGAGTCATTTCAGGTATGGAGAAAGAAAATAGGATACTTATTTTCCTTCAACATCTAGACAGTTTGTGGCACAAATGTGTAAAAGAAAGTGATTAGCATAGCTCTCCTTAAATGAAATGATGTGCAAAATAAAAATTCAGCAAGTTTATCCTCATTTTCCAGAGTTCAACACACAAGAAATAAAGTTGTTGTGGATTTGTCACATTGGGTAGCCTATCTAGGGCAGGTGACTGGGGCAGCTGCCTTAGGTCCTGATTTTTGGGAGGGTGGAGGGGGCTGGGGGGAAGGCAGGAGTAGAAAAAACCCACTGCTCCCACAGCTACATGATTATGTCAGTGGCATGTTGGCAGTTGGAACAAGTGTCGCAGATGCCTGCCCTGGGCTGTGTTGTTATGCCTCTAGTCACATTAATGAAATTAAAGATAAAGTGGACATTTAACTTACCTCCCCAATGAATCATATATACATTTACAAAACAGTCACATTAATGAAATTAAAGATAAAGTAGACATTTAACTTACCTCCCCAATAAAGCATATATACATTTACAAAACAGTGTTTACAGTACAAATAGCCACAATCATAGCTTTGACTAACTTGTTCTTATATGTCGGTATGGTATACATTTGAACGTACCTAAACTGCCCAAATAACTGTTGAAAACTGACTTGTTTAGAACTGTGCATTTTGCTCACTTGCTATTAAGCTGAAGAAGATTCGGAGATCACTTGACACTATGAAGAGCATGAATGATACTCTAATGAAGCAGGAAGAAAGAAAAGCAAAGAGATGGCTAGTAAAGCAAGCTGAATTATTACCAGCACCATCATATAAGAACTTATGTAAGGTAATGAACTTCTTTGCTAAGACACATGATGAAATATATAAATGCTTCATGATAAAATACGCGCTACAGTTTCTGTACAAATAGTTGCACGTTGCAGACATAATTGGTAATGTTGCAGTATATAGGCTGCACTAGTAATGTAGGCCACAACTTGAGAGGGGAATTTATGCTCAAGAAAATGAGTCAGCTAAGTCTTGCTCTACCCTAGAGTCCCCAACCTGGGCCTGCTTCCAACTGAGCAGTTATTTGTGCCAGATCCTCAGCAGTTGTAAACTGTTCATTTAATGCTGTAGCTCTGTTGCATTAAATTAAATCTGTGAATATCAGAACCCATTTGTGTAATGTTTAATGCCTATCTAAAATTAGACCTTAAAAATGCATGGAGTTGCATCATTTACGGAACAGTGGGCTTTTTATTATTACATAGAATTTCTTGCAAACACAAGCCACAGGAAAGGAAGAATTTAGGTAGCACCTCCATATCTGTAAGGTGATCCAGTGCAGCACATTGAATCCTGTGGAGCTACAGCAATTTACACCAGCTCAGGATTCACCTCTCTGAAAAGAGCCAGTCCTCATGTGATCACATGAGAATTCATGCATTTCCAAATAAATGCAAGTTGAATGGAGAATGACTCCAAATTCACTGAGGCTAAAGCGCTGCAGAAAGTTATCACACTTGAAGAAAGCAAACATGGGCTCATGTTTGGCTTCCCATCAACTTGACTTAGATGTGAGTTTCTGGCAGCTGCCTCTAGTTTTTTAGCATTACACAGAAGTAGAGAAAAGTTCCACTATTTTTACTGTATTGGCTACTTCCACTGAGCAGAAAACAAAAAATCAAACCCCAAACAAATTTGGAAGTGGAAAAGTCCACAACCATTCTGCACTCTCATCACTGAGGCTGTATTGTGGCAGGAAAGTCTGTCCACAGTCATTTTTTCTTGGCAGGCATGAGGTAGCAGACTACAAGAACAGGGGAGGAAGGTTTTGTTTCTATTTAAGATTTGTTGCCTATACTTTGGCAGTATTTGTGGTTTTGAATGTGTACAAGGCACCTAGATAAGGATTTGGAGAGTTTCATGAGAAGGAAGGGTAGAGAAAAAATGGGTTGGCTTTGCTTTTTTAAAATCAGGATAATCTCAAACAAGGCATTGCAGGTTATTAAAATATACCTATTAATATAAACACTCCCTTCACCTGCACATCCAAATCTCCCACCAGCTGTAAATGTGTCCTTCATTCTTGAAAAATGTTTGAATAAAAGGCCTAAAACATGTTCTTTTTGGCCCCTTCTGTCATATATCCGTGGGACAAATTTTATCTGGCTCTAGAATTTTTCAGACTTCAGAACTTGGTGTCCTTAAGTAGCAGCCCCACATCCCTTGGGGAGCATCTCTCCATTTCTGGCATCTGCCTCTCACACTTTCTTGTCACTGCAAAGTGAAATATATATAAATATATATATATATATATTTATTTATTTTTTTAACTGGTGTATCTACTACTTTCTGTCAGTGAAAGAACGAACATACCCATAAGATACAGAGCTTTTAAGTGCCTATTTCATCCTGCTATTACATTTAAAATGCATACTAATAAGGATTATACATTTATAACACATTTATCTTAGCAAATACTGGGGAAAAAACGACTTTTTTTTAAAGCTGTCACTGTATACAAGGTTTTTTTTTCCTTTCATACTACATACACCTATAATATACTCATTGTGATCATCCAAACATATGAGAGCTGCATCTACCCAAGATAAGTTTCCATTAAGAATTAAGTAAGAGAGGTACTGTGCTTCTGAGTAATCAATCTCCAACCAAACAAACAAAAAAACTCCCCAGCACACTGCACACATCTGCTCCAGGACAGTCCAATTGCTCCACACACAGGGCTGCTATGGCAACATGTCACAGGACTACACCATTAAAAACATATTCCCAGATCAACTTGGTTTAACGTTAAGTAAATATCAATAATTTCACAATAAAAACCATGGCAGGATACTGCATACCACTTTTCTTCCTTCCTTTTCATGTAAAAGATTATTTGTCAGCCTTTGAAGAAGAAACTTTCCATTATTACGCATTTTAGCAAAATCCTTTAAAACGTTTCAAGAGTGTAGCTTATACACAAGAATTCAGTAGGTTTTAAATTCATGGGAGGTTAGAATATTCTGCCTTAAGATCACCAGAAACAAAAAATGGTCTAACACAGGGTGCTAAATTTCCTAAAGGACTTATTCTTAATTAATTTGTAATTTATAAACTAAATTAATTTTATAGTCACAGAGAAAGTGCTGTAACTTGGTTAGGAAATGCTGCATTCTTCTTGTATAACAGTGGTTAAGATCCCTGCTGTAAGTGCAAGTCTCAACTCACCCATAATTTTGGAAGTGTGACCAGATCTTCATAATGTATTTTTATTATTCAATTACAGTCTGCAATATTTGCTTGTTCTTGAGAATTATCCCTGAAAGGAAAGCAAATCACTGTTTTCCTGGGGTTTGCCAACAACTTAAACTGGTGGTGGTCACTTGGAGCATATCTATATGGACAAAATGCAGTGCAGAGCATAATTTCTTGAATGAGGTCTGAATGAGCTAGTCCAGATACAGGAAGCAGTACAGTCCCATTAGCACAGTCCTCCACCTAGAGTAACATGCACTGCTGAGGAGGCTAAATTAGCCCAGAGTGCTAACTTACTGCTGTGCTGTATAGCACTGTGGTCTGTGGACATACACTTAATACCACTGTAGCAAGCAGATTCATTAAGTTTAGCACCTGTAATTACAAGGTTTACAATAACAACACACCATAATTGGTGATACTACGCATTAGTGCTGGCACATGCTTTTATGTGACACTAATGGGCAGTTGACTAATTCTACTGCACATTAGCGCATTAGCATGGGTTTTGTCTGCCGCATGAATGCACAGTAGAATTAGTTCACTGCATCTTTAGCATCTTGTGTAGACACGCCCTGTGTTTGATTAAATTAATTTTAAAAAAAACCCTGTTTTGCTTTTAAAATTCCTTTGAGGCTAGGGACAGACATTACACATAAACTGGTTTAAGTGATCAGAAAGTGGTTTAAACATGTAACAGAACAGATATTCCGTGCACATAAACCAGTTTGAAAATGGCTAAAACCAGTTTCAGATATACCTGGTTGAATGTAGTATCAGACTTAACTGATTCGGGTCAAACCAGTTTATGCAATGTCTGTGCCAGACTCCTTCCTGGTTTAAGTTAAATCAGAGTCCCTCAGCATCCCGGCACGCTTTGCTGGGCAAGGCTCTGCTCTCTGCTCCAGCCCAGCAGGGCTGGCCCCTCCCCACTGCTTCCTGGCTGCATCTCTGGCAGAGACTGCAGACACAGCAGGGTCTGCCTGGCTCCCCCGCTCCCCACCTTCCCCGCTCCCTGTTCAAGCAGGGATCCCCCCTCCCCTCTGCCTTACACAGACACCTCTCAGCATTAGCTAGCATACCACATGCTTGCTACAGGTCAAACCAGTTTATGCAATGTCTGTCCCAGACCCCTTGCTGGTTTAAGTTAAACCAGACTCCACCCAGCATCCTGGCATGTTCTCTGGGGTGGGCAGGGCTCTCTGCTCCACAGCAGAGCAGGCCCTTCCCTTCTGCTCCCTGGCTGGAGCTTAGCAGAGACTGCAGGCCTCTGCCTGGCTTCCCCCTGTTCCCCCCTCCCCTCACCACTCCCAGCTAAGCAGGGATTCCCCCCACCCCTGTGCCTTACACAGATACCTCTCAGCGTTAACTAGGAGATTGCATGCTGGCTATGGTCCATGGTATGGCAGATGGGACAAGGCAGAATCAACAGGTAGCTGGTAATGTCCTTCTGTTGTTTTCTTAAAGGGTGGGACAAACACTGAGTTAGGACTGGTAAACACTGTGTTATCAGTTATCTGCTGGGCTGATCAGAAGGAGTGTCCCTAATCAGAGCATCCTGCCAGGGCCTGGCCATGCCTCCTCCTTCAGCTCAGTACTGTCCAACGGAAGGGAGGGCTGCTTTAGCACCCTCTGGTTTCTAGCTTGAACCACTACAGGCATGTGACTGCATTTTTGGGATGCCTGTGCAGTTACAAACTGACGCAGCCTAGCCAGGTTAGACTAACCTGCAAAGATTGAATCAATTCAGGCTCAGGCTTTTTTAATGTCTGTCCTTATCCTGAATGGTTGTGTCCAAAGCTTTCTGAGTTGGGCTGGCATCTACATGTTCTGCTGAAACACAAAAATCTTTTATAATACATATAACTAATTGCTGGGAATTGATTACAAAAACCGGGAATAACTGGGACTTTATTACAAAAACCATTTGTTTTATAGATGCCATCCAGTGAAATGACCCCAGAGGCAAACCAAGCCATTCAACAGGTTTCTGGGAGACATTCTACTGAAACTCCATGTAGCCAGTTTGGTGACCATCTGTCTAACTTTGTCAGCTTTCTGCGACGTCCAACAAAAAGAACAGGTTGTAAAAGAAGATTATAACATTCATGTCATTTTTACAAGGACTGGTTTACTATCCAGTTTAAGAGAGAGAATCCATTTTCCTTATTGCAGCAATTAGGATGTCTCTGACTCTGAGAAGAATGGAATTCTCTCTTTGGTTTATTGGCATAGCCCTGTAAATCTAAATGATAGTTTAAGAAATGCATCCTGAACAGTAAAATATTAGTTTTTCTTCTTTCATTTAAATATAATTAAGAGAGAATGTCCATGGAATAGAACCTTGTCAGAGTATAATGATTGCCTGCTGATAGATTAATGGCAAAGTGAAAAAGCAGCATTTTGTGAAAGTAAATTTATGTTTGTACTTCTGTGACTTAGATTATTGTTATACCAACTGATTATCATTTAAACTGCAACCAGCTGACAGACTGGTGCAGCAGGGCCAGAGCAGCTACTGTTAAGGGCCCTTCAAATAGGAAAGCTACTACATTCTCGTGGTCTTGTACAAGAGATGCCGACTGCGCAATAGCATCACATGACAAGAAGTTTGATGTGATGCTACTACGCAGTAGTCATGAGCTACTGTTCAGTCAGCGTCATGAAAAAGCTGTTCTTCAGCGCAACTGCACAGTAGCTCCAGTTACTGTGAAGTCATTTAGTACTTGCTTATACAAATACTAAATGACTGAGCAGTAACAACTGCACAATGAGCATCTTGTGTAGATGTGGCCACTGTCTATGAAAAATGGTACTCTTGCCAATGAGAAGTCTCCCTCCAGTGATCATACAATGCTTATTATTATGAATAAGTAGGCTTCTGATTGAGTAATTAATTAGAAATTAAAGGTTGAGTCATCAAATGACAGACTGAACAAATACCAATTGTGTGTGTTCTAAAATCTGAAAGGAGAAAGACATCATGATAACAAGTGCCTGAGACTTTGAGTGGTCAGTAGTGTAAGCATATCACAGACGGAGCAACTAACCTACTGACTATATATACAGTGCCACATCCTTTTATACCAAATATGTAAGGGTAACTGAAGCAGCATGGACCAGCCCTTTCTAAGCTAGCCCATTTTTTCCCTTCCCTTGTTGCATAGGCTTTTAGCCTGCAGTAAGTTTCCAATTCTCCGTTCGTGTGTCATTTGAATGCCCTCCTTTTATATTCAGAATAATTAAGCATTTGTAACAGTTGCTTTTGTCAATGAAATGCATTGTATTTTACTACCTACTGCCATTCCCATTGCTTATTGCACTAAATGGTCCTTAGAAAAAAAATTCCATATTTGTATAAAAGGTTGTTCATTACAAGGACAAGTTCTCATGTATAAATAGAGGGAACACAGTGCATATGTTGTCTCATCTCTTACTGGATGTACTCACTGATAAGATGCTGCAGGTCCCTTTATAAAACCTGTCATTCATTCCCAGGAATGGAACTCCTGGTCCATTGCTCAACAAAACTTAGGTCAGTTTTCTTACATGGTTTGACCATTTAAAGTGCTAAGTGCCTGCAACTCCTGTGGACTTGAAATATCAATTGCATGTGCATTACTATCTGAAAGGAGGAAAGATATTAAGGTGACAAGTGTCTTAGATGCATCACAGGGCCTTGCAAAATCAAGCTCTTGGTGCACATATTCAGCCATCAGACACTATGGAATTAAGTCAGTATTTTCAAGTGACTCTTTTTTTCATCCCACTTTTCATGCACCTCTATGCAAGCCAAAACCTGCACACCCACTGTTTGAGCATTAAACTCCTTTGACCATCAAAATGATTTACAACTCTGGGCTTGTAGAGGCAAGTTCTCCCACTTGGAACATACAGGTATTTGCATATTTTCAGCAGTATGCACAAGTGCCTGTGACTTCACCAACAGTACAGGCTATTCAATTTCTGCAGGCTGGTCCAAAGTATCAGGCCTACACCTGAAGGGTGTTAAATTGTAATTTTGGTGGGATTGCAATTATTAGCTATAATTTTATATTTTTATCTGCCTCAAAGATGGTGCAAATTCAGCCATGCTCAACCTGGCTGAGGATACCTATGTGTGAGGAGCAGGCAAGTCATCAGAAGAAAGATCCAAAAGCCAAAATGAACAGTTAAGAGGCAAACTATGGGCTGCAAGCAACAGCCATATTTTACTTTGCATGTTTATAGCTTTAAGGAGCAGAACTACACAGAAGAAGAGACTGATAAAAGCATCAAGAGAAATTTAATGCCAGTGGCAAAATGAGAGCATACAGCACAGTCAATGCATATGGGGGTATAAAGTCAGCATTGGTCTCGGACGAATATGCAAGGGAACCAAGTGTAAAGTAGGGTGATAACATTGCTCTACTATTCAGAATGCTGTGTTTGGTTTAGGGGTTTGAAATTTAGAAAGGGTGTTTAAAATACTAGAGAAAATATAAAGGGCAAGAAAAGTGATAGAAGAATTAGAGGATAAGATGTGTGAGGAGACACTGTGGGAACTAAACGTATATAGTCTCAAAGAGAGAAGGCTCAAGGGGCCTTGATCACGGTCTATAAATACCTTCAAGGTAATAATATAAATGAAGGAAGGGAATTCTTCAGTCTCAGAAGATAGCAGGACAAGGAGCAATGGCCTGAAGCTAAGGAAGGGAAAGTATAGGAGAGATTCTAGGGAAAAGTTCTTAACTCTGGCCTCAACTGCACTGGATGAATTCACTGTAGTAAGAAGCAATTGTTCCTGCCTCCACATGAAGAAGTGCTCTAATCAATTTGTCAGGGGAAGGAATAACACAAGGTCCCTTCAGAATTTATACAGCACAACTGAGTGTTGGAGTGGACAGAACCAGTGACACACATGGTGAGCTGTCATTTGTGACGTGATGTTGACTCACATTATTCCAGAAATATAAACATCTGATTCTAATAAGAACAAAGATTTAAGAGTGAAGGCATTTATGCAATGGGGCTGGCATGTGAAAATGTGTTGACACAGCATCACTAATTCTGACAGCGAGGCAGCATTGTCTCTCCACATACCCTGCTCCTTCCATATTTGCAGATTTTTCTCCTCCCTCTGAGAGCAATATTTCAAATGATATTTTTGCTTCTTCCACAAAGAACTTATTATCCAGTGCATTTAGTGGTTTCCCTTCCATACATCTGCTTGATTCAATAGAGAATGAAAAGTAAGAGATGAAACAAAGTAAGAGATGTCCCCAAATGAGACTCCATAATATACAGCAGAATGACTGCTGATGTAGCTCATCTACTAATAGAATACATTCAGCTGTAGAAATAGTAAGAGTATCTCCAACTTCCTCATGCTTTTCAGCTATGCTTTAACAAGGGGAACCTCTGACACAAAGATCAGGCTTTTTCCAGCTCAAAGGACTAAACCAGAATGATCCTCATCATGCTAGACTACAGACCAAACACCAATTTCAGGCAGTTGTACTACCTTCTTGTCTTTCATTCTGCCTGACATTTGCAGTAGTGGCAGCCTACAAGCCCTGTGGCACAAGAGGAAATATCTACAGACTTTGAGAGGCATCTGCAGACATCAGAGGCAAAACAGGAACAGCAGAATAGATGAGAGATGACTGCAAAGGCCATGAAGTGACCTGATGTTTTTTAAATAGTTTGCCTATCGGCTTGAGACACGGCTGGAGGCACGATAAGGCATCAATCCAGAGAACTAGAGCAGAGATACAGAAAACCACAGTAGGGCATTCAGATATTCTGCAAAGGTTTCAAGTCATTAGGAGTACAGCAATTATAAATTAAACCTTGGGAACCCCAATGAATCCCCAAAGGTTCTAAGACGAGGGACTGTAGCCAAACAAACTCCGCTCTTGTCTCTGTTTGCCAGTAGGAAACCACACTCTCTCTTTCTAACAAAACTCTTGCTAGAGTCCCTGTCTGATACTTTAAAAGCCAACCATCACTCTCCCTTCTTACCTCACCTCAGCCACCTGCCAGGTCCTTCTGATCACATGGTGCCTGTTCCTTTCAGCTACCCGGCTGAAACTATAGGGAGTTATATTAAGTAAGCTACATTGAGATTCAACTTGCTCCTTGTGCGTAACATCAGTGTGAAAAAATAACCCAAAGTTTCAACAGGTAGTTCTCTGCTTTTTTATGCAAATACTAAACCTTCAGCATCAGGGTGCCACATCTACACTGCACTGCAGTGCAATTAGGGATACCTGAACTAGCTGTGGTATCAGAAACAATCTAGCTCTAGGTACACCTGTGCACTGACCGGGCTTAAACCTGCTCCAAATCAGGAGCAAGTACAGTGTAGTTCAAAGAAGCGCAGTTGCAGGTTTACAAAACTCTAGACTTTTGCTTTATCTCATGTCTAACATTTGAAAAAAAAATAACAAGCTACATACCCTCATATAAGTTCTCTTATTAAAGTGGTTACATGTTACTCTAGGGTCCCTCCCAGATGTACAGGTAAAGACATGATAGGATCTGATGCACAATCTGCACAATAGCACCTTCTGCCATGCCACATGTCCATAGCAGAAGGCGTTATCAAACATCACATCCCATGACACCTTATTGCTGGTGCAGGGGGAGCCCAGAATCATGATTGTGGACTCCTCCAACATTGTTAAGTAGCATTCTCCTGTGGCTGGGAGCTCTCTCAGCTGACCAGGCTCCCAACCATGGCCTGCACCATGATGGGGCTCCTAGCCACAGGAGGCACCTGGCCAGATGTTCAATTAGTGGTGTCACAAGAACCAGCCACAAAGTTATTCCACATTTTCTGTGGAGTAACTTTGTAGCTTATTCCTTATTTTCTGATGCCATTAATTTATTTAATGTATGGCTAGACTGCAACTTAAGACACGATCATCTCGTTAATCGCATCCTAAGTGTAATGTGTGGCAGGGGCCTAGGAGTCTTAACAATAGAGGCAGCCAAGTTTGGAAGAGTTTTTGAATTTGTAAATTTTAAACAGCTGAACAGGCCATTTAGTAAGCAGTTAGCCTACAAAATGTTCCATTTCAGTTTGCTTTAAAGAGATGCTAAGGCATTAAAATGATGTTTAAAGGAAGACTTAGATAAAATATACCCATTGTGCATATCAGTTTTAAAATGTCATGTAAGTGTAAAAAGAGAATGGTACAAGATTTCCTTAAATATTCTGGCATATATATATATATATTTGTATTTGATTGAATGACCAAGCAGCTTTATATAACCACACTTTTTTTCAAAGTGTCTTATTTGTGTGTTGTCAAGAGACTGAAATGACTTCTGGGTAAATAAGATGCCATTTTAAAAATTGCTTAATTATACTTGATATTTAACTTGACAGCTCTGTAGCCATTTTGGTCTCTCAGGAAAACAACATACATGTTTTATGACTTTAAAATAAGGATTTCTAATGAAATATTAGCAAATAGAAAAACGAAATGAGTCTCCAGTTTCAAGAGATGGTATCAATTTGCATGCATAAGATTTCCACCTGCACGTTAACACAGGCACTACAAAACACTTACAAATTGAGTAACTGGTCATTTAAACTCTCCAATTTACATGGATGACGCTCACAGTTCCTTGGAAACTGACTGCAGTGGTTCCCTTAAAAGACACTATGAAGAACTGGGGAGGGAAGCCCCTGCTATTTTAATATACTGTATATATAATATTAATACTAAGATTATTTTAACTCTTTCTCTATCAGAATCCTGCTCTGAAATGAGCTATAGGCTTTATTCAAAGCCCTAGTAAGTCAAGTAGTACCACTACAACCAACAGGACTACTTGCATAACCAAATTCTTGCTTAAATATTTCCACAAGATGACTATAACAAGAGAGCAGATCATTTCATTACCCTTAGATCTGAATTCACTTTTATAGCTATAATTGTTTTCCTATCATAGGTGATATTTTAAAAATCTCAGGGTTTCCCCATCTTTGCAAGATAGCCTTAAAACTAATATACTCAAAAATCAGAAAAAGAATTTTTTTTTGTTTTTCAACTGTGCCCAATTATTTTAAGGTTTAGATAAAGAGAAGACCTTTCCAAACACCTAAGTTAACAAAAAACAAAACAGTGATAACCATTAAATCCTTGACATATGACATTAGATTTCAGTGTTTCTCATATATTAAATGTTATATAACTATATCAGCTCCTGGTAAATAATGACCTTTTAAAAATAGTAACTTAGTTGTACTGGCTCTGAGTTAGCTACTGCAAAAAAAAAAAGCAGAATAATTTTTAAATATGGAAAATACTTGTTGACTAGCACTTATTGGAGGTTTCATTCTTCAGCAACTCCATTCACAGGCAATACAGATCTGAAAGGCTACCTTAACTTGATGCAAGGCTACTTAATTTCTACTTGGCATTCACTGTAATCAACCTCATCTTGGAGATGGCATCTATTATACTTCCAGACTTCTATTTTGAAATATTGTAATAAAGTAAAATAAGCATCAATAAGGACTTAGTACACTTCTACAGCTCTACAATTCCATTAGTATATGACATTTTTCTCCAAATGTGTATAATATTTATTAATAGCCTCTAGACTTGCTCTACCATACTTCTTTATCTTATACAACTGGGTTGTATAAAGATAAATTAGCTAAAACTTGCAAGGTGGTCAGATAATATGGTAAAGGAAGGCAGCCCAGAAACATAAATAGATAAATAGTTCAATATTTCTGTTCTTTTTCAGACACAAAACACTCCAAAGATGTAATTCCTTTCAGCAGAACTGACCTATCCTTAAAGACAGTTTCAGCAAAAAATTCTTATGACCCCCAAGTCACCTCTTACAATATGCATCCTACAGCTAGCATTTCCAAGAAGGGTAGCAGTGCCAGACGACTTAACATGGAAAACAACAACTTATCCACACGAGATGCAATCTCAAGATTTCCATCTTTGCAAAAGTTATCGGTAACAGGAGACAAGCTCTCTTTTTCTAAACTTGCTCTGCATGACCCATTCTATGGATCCCCAGCAGCTGAGAAGAGAATGAAAAGTATCTTCGAAAGCCCTTGGCAGGAGGAGAGACTCAAGCAGACAGTGACACTACCACAGATCAGACCTGAAGAATTTTTGAGCTGCAGGTTAGAAAAATGTTTGTGAAAATAGCAAAATCATTGGTTCATAAATATAATGGAAAAGGTATAATGGGTGTCATTAAAAAGTCGCCATCCCAATAGCTTGCACACAATTTCATACAAGAGTTCATATTTAGCTTCTGGAGGTAGCCGGGGAAATAACTACAGTATCTCACACAGCACTGTATACTGCTGTTGGCAAATGAGCTTTTAATGGCAACTTTTTATATGTGGGCTGGTTCCAGTCAGCTACTGCTTTATAAAATGATGATGAATGATAATGAGAAATACTTCAATGCAATTAGAACAAATCTGAAGTACCCTATCAGCTAATATTCTGCTTCTAGATAAATCTATAAAGAAATATTTAGAACTGAGAAAAGAACAAAACGTAAATATACAAAGTAACCAACTTTACCCTAAAACTTCAGCTTGCTGGGACCATCAATTAGCATTTTTGGGTTGGCAACTGCTTCTTCTTCCATAGGATATGACCATATAAAAATCAGCAGTGGAATCACTTTAAACCCATGCTATTGTAATACCTTGACAATAATGATCAACCCATTCAGTCCACTGGTGTACAGGGAATTAAAGGTCAGATTTTCAGCCTGGCTCCCAGCTGCCTGGAGAAATTTTGTATGTCCATTGCTTTGCATACAGTCAAGGTCTACACTCAGATAAATAGATTGTTATAGAAGTGGGAAAAAACCTTAAGGCTAACATCTTGCCAGGGGCATGTCTTGGGAAAGGGCAGCTTGCTGTAGGGGGCACACACACCATGAAATTAAACCCCTGGCCTTTTGGCAGGCCCCAAGCAAATAATGGGCGAAGTAATGGCTTTTCCTACCCGCCATAAACACAGTCCTGTTTCTATGTGGAATCATGCCCTTTTAGTAGCTGGCTTTTAAAATTTGCTTCCAGGTCTCTTAGGCTAGGGATGACATTACACATAAACTGGTTTAAGTGATCAGAAACTTGTTTAAACCTATAACAGAATAGATGTTCAGTGCACATAAAGCAGTTTGAAAATGGCTGAAACCAGTTTGAGATAAGTCTGATACTACATTCAACCAGGTTTAACTGGTTTGGCTCAAACCAGTCTATGCAATGTCTGTCCCAGACCCCTTGCTGGTTTAAGTTAAACCAGACTCCCCCAGTATCCCAGCATGTTCTTGGGGCTGGGCTCTCTGCTCCACAGCTGAAGCTCCAGCAGAGACTGCAGGCATCTGCTTGGCTTCCCCCTGCTCCTCCTCTCCCTTCACTACATCCTGCTAAGCAGGAATTCCCCAGTCCCCTCTGTCTTACACAGACACCTCTCTGCATTAGCTAGCATACCATATGCTAGCTACTGTCTGTGCTGTGGGAGACCAGACAAAGGCAGACAGGACTGTGTCTGTTTAGGGCTTTTTGGAGCCAGACAGTGCATAGCGCCCTGCTGAGCTGCACTGCATCTGCGCCCTGCCTCAGCCACGCTGCACCCTCTCAATGGGACAGCTGCTGCATGGGTGCCAGGTGGGGAGGGCGATTGCCACTGCCCTGCACTGTGCAGGGTGCAGGGGGGGCGGGGCGGGGGGGTCTCTGCCAAGAGCCCTGAGAGGTCCTGATCATTGCTGCTACATCAGGTGAGTGCGGGGATTTTTAAATTTTTTTTTAAAGTGCCGAGAGGCTGAGCCAGGTGGAGGATGGGGCTGGGCAGGGCAGCCATGGGGGCTTCTCCTGTGGCTCCCCTGGCTGTGCTCTGCTGTGCTGAGCAGACTCGGGTGCTGGCACTGGTCCCAGCTGGCAACGGCAGTATGCTGTCATCCCATGCACAGATCTGGGGGTCCGTATACCCCGGGAGGGCTGAGAGGCTGTGCCAGACTCCTCCTGGGGCTTGCAGGCCCCTGGATCTGCGTGCACGATGAGAGCAGGCTGCCGCCCCTCCCCCAAAGCACCGGGATTGGAAGAGACCTCAGGGACAGATCACAGACACTGGCCAGCTACATAGTTTCATAGTAGCTGGGGTCAGGAGGGACCTGAACAGATCATCTAGCCTGACCCCCTGCCACAGGCAGGAATGAATGCTGGGGTCACAAGAAC